CCCATATATAAATTAACTGGCTGGTCAAGCAAGTAGGAAATAAAAAGGATTACTAGATAGCATGTGATTATCGATTGCTAACAAAACTATCACATTAATCACAGTTTTGTTAGCAATCCATTATCACATGCTATCTACTAATCATTAATCTCTATGGCTCTAAATAATATAATTTATAAGATTAACGATTAGTAGATAGCATGTGATAATGGATTGCTAACAAAACTCAAGTTGTGGTCTTTAATTAATTATATGAAATTGATGATAAATCAAGGTATCTTTACTTTTTGGATTACGATCATCAAATGAAGAAGCTAGAGTCGAAGCCAAGCCGTAGGGAGAAACATGGAGACAGGAGTCTCAGTCAGTGTATTGGGAATACAGATAATGAGAGAAACGCTTTCGGTGAAAAGAAGAAAAGAAGACACACGAGCACGACCGCTTGCTTCATCACATTCTTCGGTTCGGTCTCGTCATCATACCATCATGATTACATCGTATAAAATGCTCACGTCACCACACCGCTGGCGTCTTTTGACTTTGTTCTTCCCTCTCCTATAAGAAGAAGACGTTTTCTTTCTTTCTTTCTTTCTTTGTTTTTCTGACTAATCTGAGTCTTTTGGACCACAAATTATAGAAATTTGCTTATATACGTACCAAAGAATTAATGGACAAGTAAAGCTCATGAGAGTCGTCTCGTCAATGTATAATGTGCTAAAATTTTTTTTTTTTTTTGCTAAAGATAATGTGCTAAAGTTGATATCACGAAAATACTATAATGCAAAAGAAACGTCGGGAATATCAATCTTACTGTTCATTATTTGAATATATAGAGATATTTTCTTTATCTATTTTATCACTTTCATTCTGGAGGACATTTTCATTTCCATCCACCATATTTTCTTTTGAATCGTTGAAACGAATATCGGAGTAACTGTAGTATTCATCAAATCACAAACTGAATATTTAATTATGAAAACAAAACTAAAACTTTGAAATTCTAAACTCTAATTTTATTTAACATAGGGTAACTATACGCTGAATCACACTAAAAATGTATATATGAAAGTTTCGTGTGATATATCGAAAAAACGGTCTATTTCCCCCCCGAGAACTATCGTATCTGGCCATATAAAGCCCGGTCTTTGACCTCTGTCTATATACATATGAAACGGAAGTTAAATGTTTATTTCCACATCAATTGAAAGTTCGAGAACTTAATGTCCATGAATCTTGGTTTCGTCGGTTTAGTGCATAAACCTGAGACGGAACCATGTTTCGGTCGTAACTTAACCAAAAAAAAACAATTCCTTATCAAAATCGGACCCATTGTCGTTGCCATCCCTAAAATCAAAATCCCAAAATCCCCAAATTCAAATTAAGAACCCAAAAAAATTCGATCCGATTTCAACCAAAACCCGGCTCGCTCTTATCATTGTCTTCTCCGATCAAAAACTGAGTTGAAAGTAAAATTTATAATGGTTTTTCGATCCACGATTCTCACCAACCTCCGTCGCCTACCCCCGTTTTCCGGCCGCTGATTTCCCAATCCACTCCAATTCGTTTGTCTTCTCCGCTGATTCTTCGTATCTTGAACCCATAAATGTGCCAGGTCTGGTAGTATTTTCCGATCGACGGTGCCGGCGAAGCATGGAAACTAGCATTGTCTATATTAGTGAATCTTCCTTTGGTTCAATTATCTTTCGGTTTCTGATCTGTTTTTTTCCTTGGAGAGGCTAGATAACGATGGATTTGCAGATTTATCGGATTGTATAAGTTTGGCTTTTGATCTGAATATTTGGATGAAGAATTTGATGTTTTGTGTACGGCATTGGTTTAGCAAATCATTAATCTCATGAATCAATATTGTTTAGCTTGTGGAGATCAATAGATTGTGGAATTTTTTCCTTTTCTATGACCTTAGGTGGCTTCAAATTCTAAGGAGATGGAGATGGAAAGTCAAGAAAATGTGGAAAATCCCATGAATTGAAACGTGAAAAACCCATGAATTAGATTGGCTAGATAATTTCAACTCTCCGTGAGGATCCATTAATCTCATGAGGATCCAAATTAAATCTGCAAAATCATGGCTTGGAAGAAGATGAAGAAGAAGAAGAAGAAGAAGAAATCGGGTCAGTTACGGGTCGGGTTTGAGATTGGGTCGGGTTTCGATGTGTTTTTTGGGTAATGGGTCATAAACGGGTTGTAATTTGGGTTTAGGTTGGTTCTAATTAGGTTTAATTGGTTAAAGCATCGGTTTGGTATACAATAAACCAATTAAACCCTGCGCTATGGGGTTTTAAATCTCGAACTTAGGATACATGGACATTAAGCTCTCGAACTTTCAATTGATGTGGAAATAAACATTTAACTTCCGTTTCATGGGTATATAGACAGAGGTCAAAGATCGGACTTGATCTGGCCAGATACGATAGTTCTCGGGAGAAATAGACCATTTTCCGTGGGGTCAGAGAAAAAATTGGAAATATAATTATTATAGCCGTAATAAAAAAGTTTAATATAAAAATGTGAGAATTGGATTTTTTTTGTTTTTTTCTCATTTTGTAAACGACGACGACGACGACTCGTACAAGTAGTGATCTACTATATAATCAGTAATCGTAATAAGCGATGTGACCGTGTGAGTCAATAGTTGACTATCTTAGATCTTGTGTGCTGAGTGGTATATATGTATGCGTATGTGTGAACCTTTTTTACATGGTATATGACAGGTTAAATTCACTAGTGATTTTATTAATATGCTGGTATTGATTTGTGATAATCTACTGGTGATTTTTATTCAATTAGATGTTTTGCAACTTGAAAAAAGTATGGGATTGTAAATTTTTTGGTTTTGATGTGCTTCTTGAGGGTTCGACAATAGAAGACTTTTTTTTGCTTTTATCGTGGTACTATATAGACTTAATTAACTGTTAGATATATCATCTTCATAAGAAAATTAACTAAATCATTGTAATATATAGAAACTATTGTGTGCACGTTTATCTATTTTTAGTTGTCGATTATAAACTAGAGATCCATTTTATTGAAAAATCTTTTCTTTATCGCAGATCTTCAACTGAAGGTAAACGTGTATGATAGTGATTAGACTATAAACAACAAAGATTTTTGTATTTTATAACGATAAGTTCATAATCGAGTACATCTATACATAGTCTTAGAAAACTTATGATACAGATTAAAATGTTGACGTAGTTATCCAAAGAAATTATTTTCTTATAGTTAAGTGATTAAGTCGATGCAATAAAGAGACACGTACAAATCTGATGGTCTACTTTTGTGGATACAAATTTCAGTCAAGTTATAGTAGAACGAACGATCTATTAGGATGGATAAAATGGTTTATATATGCATTTCAACAATTTTAGTTATAAAATCGCACAAAACGAAGATAAAAATATATATAAATACAAGGCCTACTTTGAATGGCGTTTATCTTCATTATGCAAATGCATAATCATATTAACGCGTTGAAAAGAGTCATTTAACACAGTTTGACAGTTAGTTCTTTGGGGCTTACCAGAAATTTTGAATATATATAGTTGGAAACAACAACTATCTATTATATATAGTATAACCAATTACATCAAAACGACTTTGTCGTCTAAAGTTAGCATAATATAATCAATTTATTTTATTTTCAAGTTGAATAAAGCTAGTGAGTATGATAATCACGATCGCGACACAAAAGAAAAAGAATGTAAATCACAGGTCGCACAATTACAAGGTACGACATACGTACTTTCATATATTTTCGATTTATAAACTAAATAAACTTAGTCACTGAATATAAAAATATTGAAATGTTATTTAGATGTCCAAATTTGTTTACGTCTTTAACAAAAAAAAAAAAAAATTGTTTACGTTTGCATTTATACTTGCGTACGTATTATCGTAATTATTTTTTCTTTATTGTTTTTAATCAAAATTCATTTGTGTGAGTTAAACAAAAAATTCAATATTCAAAAATATCTTTTACTTTTCTCCATAAAAGGATGAAAATATCAATGTCACATATATATATATATATATATATATATATATAAACGCATTTTTCTGTCTTTAAAATAAAGTCATAATTAATTTTGACATTTGTTTTGTTTGGCCCTTCCCATAAGCCAATTCATTGCATATAACTTAAACTTCTAAGCATAGTTATTAGTTTTGTTTGGAACAAAAAATTATAGCTCAAACTTGTACAATTTACTTAACACACCATGAAGAACTTAGATAAGCATCTTATCTAAATAAAAAACTTAGATAAAGCAAATCACCTTCATCTTTTTATTTTATTTTTCAAAAAGCAAATCACTTCATATTTTGTAAATTAGCCACTATGTACTACAATAAGATATGGAGAGTAACAAAAGAAAGACCGAAGCTGAGAATGACCGATTCTATTTCTCTAACTCTTTTGGTCCCACTGAGGCAACAAGCATTTAATTAAACGTCAGCCGTTGGTTATTGACCTTCCTTTTTCTTTATTTATTTTTGTTTTGGGGCTTGTTTGCATGTATAATGGATGTATGTAAAAGTTGAAGATATTCTTATTGGATCAATGCAAAGGATATTGTCTGAATACTTTTAATATCTGAATTTTGGATATACGCACAACAAAAATGAGAATCCATAAAAATTGTGTTTGTAAGTATCTAAGTATATGTGTACTATAAAACATGAAAATATATTCATTCAGTCTTTTTTGTTCTTCTTGGCTAACCTTTTTTCGCTTGCCACACTAATGACACATTAATTCAATTTTATCCACTCCATTTTTGTATAAGTGTGTTGTGACATAATACAACACTCTAATTTGGTTTATACTAATAATCACACTCGCTAGCTGAACCAAAGTTCCGTACGAGTAAGCTGTGACACGTGTCCCTTTCAATCTCCGCTCAACGCGGTTTCATCGCTTCTCGCCGTCCTTATTTAAACTTCCTTCGGCCCCATTTTTCATTTCTCACCTTTCTCTCTCTCTCTCTCTCTCTAATTTCTTCTTCTTCTTCTTCTCCTTTCAGAAACTCTGCGACCATCTTCTTCACCGGTTATGGTGACTTCCGAGGGATTAGCAAGCGTTGATCCTTGGTTATATCGCCAAGGTTTCAACGTTGATTCATGGTTGCTTTCTGATGCCTTCTCTCACGACAACGATCTGCTCGCCAGAGCTCTCCATACCACCGTCACAGCAACACCTCATACTCTCACTCCTTCCTCTGCTTTCTTCGATTCAGCCGCAGTTTCTCACCCTTCCTCCACTACTAACACACTCTCCTCTAACGTCTCCGGTGGATCTGATCCAGAAATCATCGGCGGAGGAGCTAAACGAAAACGTAACTGCCTTCTTACCGACGGTAAAACCGCCAAGCGCCGTGCTCGTGCTTCCAAGAAATCTCAGACTACTTTCATAACGGCGGATCCGTCCAACTTTCGCCAGATGGTTCAGCAAGTGACCGGCTCTAGGTACATCGATGATTCTCCCTTCGGGATGTTCGACCCGATTGTCAAGCCAGAGCCGCTTAGGCTCGTTAACAAACTGCCTTGTGGTCTGTCGGATCGATCCACGGCAGTTCCAATGCTCGATACATCAGCATTTTTGTCTAATCATCACCAGGAGAATCTCGCAGTGGGGAACGCCTACTCCGCTGCTACGGGAGTAGGATTAACTTCGGGGAAGCCAAATGCAACAGCGGACGCAGGTGTTTCTGCCGATGATTTTGAAAATTACCCAACATTTCCAACGCTTGAATCGTGGAAAGTTATGTGATCTTGTTTTAGTTTTAGACGTAATCTTTAACTTTTTAGGCTTGTTTTCTTTGCATCTCCTCATGAATAATCTTGTTCATAGTTTTTGTTTATCGATGTAATGGATCAAATCTATGCTCTATTTTGACTTTAAAATTATTTAGCGGATAAGTCACAGATCTATTTATTTATAAATCTGTATGAGAAAGCAAAATTCTCTAAGTTGGGGTTAGTTGGTAAAAGAAACTGAAGCTAAAGTTAATAATGCGCATTAGTGTAGGAGTCTTCTCACCGTTGAAAATAGCGAAAACTATAAATTAATCATAAGATATTTTTCAACGGAGGAGGGTAAATATCTTGTCAGCATCTTTTAAATAAGACAATCAAATGCGTTACGACCACTAATACAACAATGTCTCCATTACTGATACAATGCCAAAACACAGTATTTGTTTTATTAGAACATCCCATCTTTGCTTGCCATTATGCACTCAGATACAATTGCGTGTACTAGGACTTCTCTCATAATCGATTATTTATCTGGAGAGATGAATATTCGTTACAAGAAAATGAAAACCTATCTAAATACACTTCATGACATATGTTCAGTCCAGCGGCTAACACAAGAGAACATGTCAAAGTAATATAATTAGGGTTTTTTCAACTTCTCAAGGTTCATTTATAAAAACTAGAATGAAATCTAGAAAAGTTCCTAGCAATGACCTACACAAACCCACCAGACTCACAGAAGAAGCTTAAAAGTCAAAGTCAAAGTCTTTAGAAGTACCTTCGCTTCCTCTCTTTCACCCTTCATCCTTATGTGACTTTGATTTCTCGATTGATTCCATTGCTTCTTCGAATGATTTCTGAAAATATATACTCAAAGTTATTAGCTGTGGTGGAAACACAGATGAAGGAAAACACAATCAGGAAGAGGCAAAGATCATGTAGCGTGTAAACAAACAGAGATGCACATGCTTTTGTTTTTCTTATTAACAGAAATTGGAAACCAACCATTAATATCCTCAGCAATAAGTATGCTCATTTTACTCCACAGTCATAAAATCCTACACATGTAAGGTTTTCTAACATGATGCTTTCTCTCTATCCTAATGATGTGAAAACATTGATCATTAAATTTACATTTGCATCTAAATTTTTTTACAAACCCTACCCTGAGACAACTCCCAGTAGTCAATGACCTGCAACACCAAACTTATACAGTAATCAATGGTTCGAACACATTCTCCTTTGTCACACTTCCATAGCTATCTAGTGTGCACATGTAAATAACAAGCTAGTGGACACCATTAGCTACTACAATTCTTCGATTCCATTCTAGTTACACCTATGGCCACACGAATAGGTGTGCAGAGATATAATCATCAACAACATTTAGTTCACAAGAACTTCAATCTGATAAATTTGCGAATTCATTCACTAAGATGCATCCAGCACAGGATAAACCCAGTTGAAAACACCAATGTATGTATATCACAGGATAAAAAAACAAAGGCAAGAATGCAAGATTATCAAAACAGTCAGCAGCTTATGGCGACCATTGATGGATAATATGATACTCACCCCTGAGTTACGCATTTTCCACAGTGTTTCTCCGCTTGTATCAATCGCAGAAAATGCAAGGTACAAACCACTTGAAAAACAAAAGACAGACACCACTTTAGTAAGGATACAACATTGAGCAGATAAAAGCCACAAAGAGAAGACCATAACTAAAAAGCAGCCAGAAAATTATTCACGAAAACTCAAATTTGTGAAATATAAATCTCAAATCAACAGTAAGCCAATTTCTTTAGTAATGACTAATGAACATGATGAAGAAAGCACACATTAAGGATTTGAGATAAACGTGCACCAAAAAACTTAGTATCATCACACCTACACGAATTCGAATCGATCACTACTCTGTAACCAGATCTCTCACAAGGAATTCACCAATTACAGCAAAAGCTCAGATACCAATCTAATAATAGGCTAAGCAAGAAGTTGTCACATACCCAGCTAATGCGAGATTCAGTAGAAACGCTCGCGTAGTCAAATAACGAAACGTCGAATCAAATCCGCTGCTGAAGCTAGAGGCCTGACGATTCCTCGTAGAGTAACCATAACCGTAACCATACGCTCTGCCACCACGATTTCCATACGGATTACTATACGAACCGCTCGTACGACGAAAGCAATCTGAATCGCTACCAGCGTTATAAGACGCGCGTTTCAGATCGTCGTTCAAAACTTCGTACGCCTCCGATACAAGCTTAAACCGCACGGTGGCGTTTCGACGAACATGGTCCGGAGATTGTGCGTGCTTATCCGGATGATACTTAATCGCCAATCTTCGAAACGCATCTTTAACCTCCTTCTTCGTCGCGTTCTTCGTAACACCTAGAACTTGGTAATGATCCACCATCGGAAAATTTTCAACCGATCAAATCGGAATCGCAAACACCTGAAATTGAGATCCGCGATTGCTCCTGTGTATAACTATGCATATAGAAAGATTTGTGTACGTGAATCTGTACTCGTGTGGGTAACATCGAAAATGAAATTGGAATAGTAGAGAATCGCTCTCTGTTATTGGAGGAAGAAGAAGAAGACTTCGTGGCGCTTCAATGGCCGCTTCCTCCAAACACCTCTCAATTAATTTATTATTTATTATTTTATTATTGACTTGTTAATAAACTTAATATTAAGTAGATATTGAGCCGGGCCGCGGCCCAATAATATGTTACATAACAATTTATGTTATTGGACTGACTTCTTATTTATTTTACATT